TGAAGAATAGGGAAATTTACAGATGTAGCATGCAAGTCTTATGGTTCACCTACCTCACACCTTAACTTCCATATGCACTCATAGCACTTTGACTATGTGAATTTGACTATTAAAAAGTGATAATTAGTGTTATTTTTTATGTGATATGAAAGAATTGTGTTATGCGTGTAAATATGAAAATTTTAGTATTAGATAGGGAAGAATAATGTGTTATAACTTATGATTTATTAGGGGCGGCTATAACATTTTCTTAAAAAAATAGTCATAAAATTGTGATGAAGAGAGATGATTTTCAAAAATTGTTATGAATATTATATATATAACACTTTGATGTCATAATTTATGCATTATGGTTTTCAAAAATTGTTATGAATATTATATATATATATATATATAACACTTTGATGTCATAATTTATGCATGCCAAATTATATATCACTTTTAAAAATAAATAAAAGTGATTTTATTCATGTATGTGAAGGAAAACTTCATCTTTCTCTGACTCACTGATTGAAAGCATTGGTTACATATTTATCTCTATAGATTAGGAATATTTTTAATAGATAAAAGATCATGCAATTAGATCTGATTTAATTAGGTTACATATTTACTAGATTTCTTATAATTCAACTTTCTATTATACAACCATCATATATATTACTTTCCATAACATTGCCCCTTAAGCTGGAGCATAGATGTTTATCATGCCTAGCTTGTTAGAAATATAAGTCAGCCTAACTCCAATAAGGGACTTTATGAATATGTCCCCTAGTTGTTCATTGATCCTTACAAACTATAAAAATTAAATATTGTTGAATCTTTCCAATAATGAAATGATAGTTTGTTTTAATGTGCTTTGTTCATTCATGGAAGTTAGGGTTTGAGACAATATGGATTGCAGCTTTGTTATCGCACCAATGCTTTGTTGGAATCATCGTCTTAAAACTCATTTCAACCAACAATTAGGAGACCTGCATCAATTCACCTGAAGTTTGTGTCATTACTCGATGCTCGGATTCTACATTGGATCTTGACACAATATTTTATTACTCTTCCATGAGACCAAATTAATACCAACAAAAACATAACATCCTGTAAAGGATCTCTGATCAATCTCAGAGCTTGCTCAATCCACATCAAAGAAATGTTCAATATTTCTATGCCCATAATTTTAATATAGATTAACTTGTCAATGCACTCCTTTGAGTAACATATTATCAGTTTCAAAGCTGACCAATGATGGACCGTAGAGGAAAGACATGAATTTATTTATAGTGTTAACTGAATGAGCGGCGTCGGGCTAACTCACTATCAAATAGTTTAGATTTCCCACATACCTCCTATATCTTTTAGGATCACTGAATGACTCTCTATTCTTTATAAGTTGTTGATTGGAAAACTTCAGAGTACTACATTATTTCACTCCTAAATTTTCAGTTTTTACTAATAAATTGAAAACATACTTTCGTTGAGATAAAAAGATACGTTCTTGTTTTTTTATACCTCAATCTCCAAGACGTGTTTCAATCAAGTCTTTAGTGTTCACTAATTTTGAAGAAATGATTTCAATGATAATATTATTTTTCACATCACTTTTAGTACTAGTAATGTCATCAACATGCACCATAATTAGAATGTATAATGTGATCACTTTTATTTTTCTGCATCACAAACCCTTCTTCCATTGGCTAAATTTTTCAAACTATGCCCAAGGACTTTGCTTCAATCCATATAATGACTTCTGAATACGTCATACTTTCTTAGATTCACCTTGAGCAACAAACCCAAGAAGTTGCTTCATGTATACGTTTCTAAACCCAAGAAGGATTCTTCACATTAAACTGTTGTAGAGGTTAATTATTCATTGTGCCCAAGGACAAAAATAGACAAACAAAATTCAACATAGCTATTGAAGTGAACGTGCTCAAGTATTCAATTCTATAAGTTTGAGCATAACCCTTAGCAATAAAATGAGTTTTGAGATGAGCAACATATCCATTAGAATGAAACTTAACTGTCAATATCCTTTTTCGACCAACAACCTTCTTGTTAGACGGTCGTTCAACTAACTCCCAAGTTTCATTATCGGGTTTAACAAATCTTAAGACCTCAACAAAGTCGAGAGATGAAACAAACGATCGCGACGTAGGATATAATTGGATATAATTAACACAAGAGGAAATAGGATATGTGGATTAATATTTACCTCTTAGAAGAATAATAGATACATCAAGATCACTAGGAAGATGATCCACTGACAAAGATGATATCGGTGTTGGACTAGGATCATGGGAATAAGATTTTTCTAGAGTAAAAATTAGTGATTGGTGGTCTGACCTGAGGCACTGGTGGTGGAGGTGTAGCTGAAGTAGGATCTGAACTAATTATATAATGTATTAACAACTCATTTGAATCTTAGGAGAATTTAGGCACCGATGAGTTATCAAAGAATGAGATTATTTCATGAAATGTGATGTTAGCATAAACCATGTACCTATTTTGGAGAGGGGAAAACATCAATACCATTTTTACAATTGAGAGTATCCTAGAAGACACACCTTATTGACTTAGGGTATTGTTTAGAAACATGTAGATAAGTATTATAAACAAAACAAGTACACACAAATATATGTGGTTCAATGTGAAGAGAGATTTGGTTAGAAATAAAACTTCGTAGGGTATCTTGTTATGTGAAAAAGTAGAAGACATCCGATTGATAAAAAAAATATGCAATGAAAGCTGCATCAACCCAAAAATAGCATCACTACAATCGAGATTTCAAAAATTAAAGTCAAGCAATAGGAGAAAAATCATCTACAAACATGATAATATATTGAAATTCATTAAATAAAATAAGACAAAAATGAACCACCACAAAATTATGACTAACTCTATTCTTCTTTTTTAGAGTAGAAGACAAATAACGGTGTTTAGCAAATTGGCATAACTCACAATCTAAAGAAGATAAATGTTGAATTATGGGTATAACTTAGCATTGGTAGTGATGAGTGTCCTAATCAACAATGGATCTAATATAGAGATAAGTTGTTAGAACAACCTATGGGTCGAGATAGTTCACTATTTAAAATGTATAGCCCCCACACCTCAAACACTTCCCCCCCTCCCCGATGAAGGCTGAGAAATCAAAATAGTATGCATCAATCTGGTATATACTTCCCTCAGAGTAGTAACCCCAGGGTCCGATAGGATTTGTGATACACTTTCATATGAAGAGTTGAGGCCAACTAGAAAACTCATAATAACTTCTCTTTGAGCCTATTGAATAAGGACATCATTATTGAATGACATTCATTTATTCATAAACACGTTTAAAGTGCATGTGATAAGTGTTAAGTGTTTAATCATGTTGTTCAGCTCGATAGAACTCCTTACATACATAAAAAATTCCAGAAAAATTCTCTCAAACAATACAAATGTCAATTCCTCCATCACATCTCTAACATAGCCACATAATAATATGATTAGATTGATCGGATTTGATAAAGTTCTGTATTTCTATAAAAAATTGGGCATCAAGTATCATCCACTCAAAATAATTTAAATCAATCTCAATTGGGAGATTATCAATGAATTGCCTCTCCCGAAAAATATTTTTAAAGTAGACTCTCACAATTTTATTCCAATAAAAATAATTAATGTCATTTAACTTTTCATCTGTAATTTATCTATGATGAAACTAAACTTTATACTATATATTATTGTTCCACAATCATGATTATCACCGAATATTAAATGAGACTGAATTAGTACTAATGACAAACACAATGGCCAAAGAAGAACGTGGGAGACAAACGATACCGAGCCTTAGAAGACAAATAAGTCAACGATGCGCAATAATATTATTGTATGTACTTTTTTTCCTCTAATCATAACATTCATGTTGCACCACAACAAAAAATTTTTGAGGCGGCAACAACCATTCCCTAAAGTATTCAAAATTATTATGAAAAGGGCTGCTTTTCAAAATTTTTTAATGGTTATCATAAATAACTAAATAATATCTATTGAAAAGTCAAATAACATCTTTTTTTTATATGATCTCACTTATAAATCTTACTTTTAAAAGCAAGTTTTCACCGGAAAAAATTCTTAAGCACAGCGTAAAATAGCGGCCAGACCAAGCAAAGTGAGGACAACAATCTAAAAAGAACAGCGACGAAACCACCCCAAATAAACCATTAATGTCACATTCTTTATAGTCGTATAATCCAAATATCTATATAAACATAGCCGGCAAACAAAAACATCATGCTCGTTAGACGAAAATCAGCACATTTATTTACACTAATGCAACATACTTCCATTCTAAAAGGCTGCCACCCTCAAACAGAAGAAAAGAAGAATACTCCCTCAACCTCGACTCTTAAGAAAACTTATCCTCCCTCTCCAATTCGGCAATTTCACCTTCTAAATTACTAAACTCCAGGAAATGAGTAGGCCTGTGATCTTCATGGTAATAATCTCGCGGCGCGCCGAGCTTGACGCCATACTTCATGCTCGCCGTATGCTTCACGCCCATGAAGTTATAGTTCCAGGGACCATTGTCTGGAACCATGTAGTACCCCAAGAAACGATCGCTGAGGAGCATCTGTACCTTCTCATAGTGGGTAGGTAGGTAGCCGTGTGGGTTGCTTCCAGTATCCTTATTTGAACGCCCCCATTCATAACCAGTGGGTGTAAGTTTGTAGGCGGTCAAGGAGCAGGAACCTGGCGTGAAGCTGCAGGTAAGAACGATGCATTTTTCACCATCCCATTGTTTGTTGTTCTCCAGAATCCGGGCGTGGGATGTAACATCCTGTAAGCAATTGGGTAAATATAAAATTTGATAAAAAAATGTTGGAAGATTTACATGCTGTGCAAAGTGCCAAAATAGTCCCCTGACTAATTACATGGGATCATTTTAGTCCAAGAATTTATGAAAGTGGCAAATTAGCATTCAGACACTTTTAATATGGGCTGAAATAGTCTTCATGGAAGAGTATTTTAGCCCTTGTTACAAGAGACTGGGACTGAATTCACACTTTATAGACTATAGGACTAAAATAGCTCTCTAAAAAAGCTAGGGGCCATTTTGACATTTTCTATTAACATATATATCAATCAATTCTTTATGTATTTACTTATCGAACACCTAAACTTCAATTTTTAGGTACATGCCACCTTAACTATGCATGAAAAGGTGTATTTCACTTTTAATATGGTGATATTTTTTATGTTATATGAAAGATTTGAGCGTATAAATGTAAAAAAAAAAGCACAATGGAATTGGATGGTATGTATGTAAAGGCAATTAAAATAGAGGTTTGGAAGTAATTTGGAAAATCCTGATAAATCACCTGAGGAGATAGCTGGGGAAGCTCATTTGGCTGGGTATGCATCCATCCCAATGGCTCCAGATCGTTTAAGAACTCGTGTTCAGGAAGAGCAGATGGGAGGTTGACATGCTGGTGACTTCCCCATTGTGGTGGCATTACAATACAACGGATTTCCTTCACTTGTGGATTATCCTGGGGGCTTAGACCGTACAGATATCCAGCAATTTGGGTTCTAAGATCAGCTATGCAGATAAATTTCTTCAATATGTTCTTAGGCATGATATACGTGTAACCAGTTTCCTGTTAATCAAAAGCCAACAAAAATAAGTACTAAGAGTGAGAGATGACTGGAACGTGTGAGGACAGTAATTCCATTCATACCTTGATGTCATCCGAGTTAACATAAATATGATTGACACGCAGATACAGATTTGTGGCTGAAATAGCCCTCACTCTCCAATCGGTTTTGGATCCAAATGCAGCTTGTTCATACGGACTAGTCGTTGTGACAATAAGTTCATCACCGTGAACATTTGTTGTTCGGGTTGTTACTGCAGTCAATTGGCTTGCTTCTTTGGCCTGAAAATAGAAATATATATTAGAATGGAGTGGAATGAGAAACCAGCAACTAGATGGAAGGCGAGATGATGTGTGGGCTGCCTAGCCTGATCACCTGTTTTTCAATTTCAGCAATCTGCTGCCTCTGCTGTGATGGTGGAGTAATCTCAGCACCAAGTATGATATCGCGTATTTCAGACTGCGTCAGCGCTGAGGTGTTCACATTGTTCTTCTTTGCATAGTCGGAGAGAATCAGATCCCTCAGAGCAACTTCTACCTGCATTAACAATGTATAACTGTAAACTCAAAACTATTTTATTGGGAAGTGAGAGAGAGAGAGAGAGAGAGATACTTTCATCCACTGGTCATCAGTGAGTGATGGCCAAATATGGTGTGGTTCAGTAACGATTCATCCACTGGTCATCAGTCAGTGATGGCCAAATATGGTGTGGTTCAGTAACGATTGTCTTGTCAGGCTTCAACAACATCTTCGCCTTCTCATTGTTGACATGAAGTGCACGCAGTATGAGAATCAAGCGAGAGAAGGCAGTATATGAAGAAATGCTTTTGAGCCAATCATCATAAATGTTGAAAAGAACCATTTGGGGTTCAGTGGCCTTCAGAATCAAGTCACCGAACTTCTCAATTTTCAAGCAAGCCTGGAAGGGGAGCTGCAGCTCACTTCCCTTGATCACTATGTTGGGGAAATCAAGCAAGTGGACCTCCAGTGGATCCAACATCCCCTTCCTTGTCACAATTATTTGCTTTGGCTGCTCTTCAACAGGTAAGGATCGCACGAGGGCAGCTACTTCCTCTGCTGTTTTCCACTTTGCAAGTTGACCAAGACGCTTCTGGCCAGCCCACACACTGGTGTGAATAACCTGGTTAAAACAAGAATAATAATGTAATATAGGATATTAGATGGAATTTTGTAGTGAAGTTTATCCAAGAGAAAGCAGTAAACTTATAGAACGATACCATACCTTAAGAAATAGCTGGCCTGTTCTTGGGTTGAATATAAAGATTGCACCATTAATGGGCTTTGTGGTGAGATTTCCCTCAAAAGTTTTGTGGATGGTAACCCGATACACATTTGTATCATCAACAAACCAGATAATCTGGTTACTGAATATTTCACCGTAGTTCTGTGATGAAAGGTATGGTTCTGTAGGTTCAGATGAATAAAGTTGCAGACCTTTCCTTATCCGCTCCCTCAAAACGTACAAGGCTGGATTTGACTGCACAACATCAAAAATAAGCATAGTAAGATGAAATATTTGAAATTCTAATTTCTAAGGCCAGTGAAAATAGCAATAAAGCTCATGCAGTACATACCTTCATAATCTTATTCAACACAACATCAAAAATAAGAATAGTAAGATGAAATATTTTAAATTCTAAGGCCAGTGAAAATAGCAATGAAGCTCATGCAGTACATACCTTCATAATCTTATTCATCGCTTGAGCCAATAATGGCTTTGACCCTGGGAACCAATTGCCAAAAGCTGAGTGCAAGTTGTATGCCAAATCAAGCCCAATCATGACACCTAAAAAAAGCAAGACCCTAAAAAAAGCGAGAAAAGGTGGAAAATGATCAATAGTCATTTAACTTGCCACACAAGTTACAAATTCAAGCAGGATAAAAACCAAATATGTAAAGCAAAAGGACCTAAAAAAAGCAAGAAAATATGGAAAATGATCAATAGTCATTTAACTTGCCACGCAAGTTACAAGCAGGATAAAAACCAAATATGTAAAGCAAAAGGGCAAACCAGTCGGTGATGGATAAATTGACATGTTATCAGTGGTATAATCCATAAATTTTGCCCTCGTATACCGCTCTATATCATGCGAATCATAATCTCCCCACCTAAGCTGCACATCTATCCAATATTTTTGACTTGCCTTCTGATCAAATACATCCTTGGACTCAGCAACCAAGCTAGGCTTAGACATTGGCCATTTATGAGCAGCAAACAATAGGATGTCAGCACATGAGCTGTTCATCTTGTAACTCTTCCTTGGATGTATTGTTTCTTTTTGCACTGTATCAATTTCTAAAGCATCCAACTCCTGATCCAGAACTTGGCAAAGATCCATAACAACACTCTCATGAATCTTTTGCCAAAGATGGGCACGAAAAATTTGAATCAAAGATATCTTTAAAGTTGGGATCTTTCCATGCATGAATATCCCAGTTAAGTCAAGCTGCACCTGGAAGCCTACATAAACATTTGCTCTATTTATGGTAGGGGACCACCACAAGGTAAACCTACGGTTTGGAATTTGATTTAAGCCAGACCGTTGCGCATTAGTTAATTTCTTGTACTTCATAGACTCTTCAAAACCTGAAGCTTTCTCCCAAAAGAGACCTTCCCAAGTTGGGAAACTGAAATATCAAACCAGAAAAAGATAGACTTGTGAACAAATAAGACAAATATGCAACATGAAAGATATCAACAATTCAAATAAGCCAAAAAAAGATATAAAAGTAAAAAAATGTCATATAAGCAGCCAGCAAGAGGTTAAAGGATAAACATGCAAAGTACACTTACTATGTGCCTTTAAATAATGTGTGCTCCAATATTCCCTCAACTCCTCCCAATGCTTGGATAACATCTGTTCTGTAATTATTAAGATTCCACAGCTTGCCATCATGCCTTTGATGAGTCCACCAAAATGGGTTCTGCTTTAAGACTTGGTACTGTTTAAAATCAGTGCGAACCCGCCAACCTTTGTCATATGCCAAGGTATGACGATCTTTCTGGAAGAGAGTGTTAATCCTTGGGATTCCCCTATCCCAAGAGTCCTGCCATAAGTAACTATTGTAAATGCCGAATGATAAGCATAGAAGTTTATAACAAATTTATAGGCTAATTATTGTTATGTGACTAAACCTGGACATGATGACAATCCTAGTCAATATCATAAAAGAAGTCTCAAAAGAAATGAGAAGGAAAGAATCATATCCATACAACAAAAAAACTGCCATAAACACAACGGTTCTTTTGAGACAAAAAAGAAGGTTACATTGAGTACCTGAGTGTAACTTATGTAACCTTCTTTTCAAGCTGCAAGTAACCTAGCTATTTGTCATCATGAGAGAGATTATATAGCTACAAGTAAATTATATATCCTCATAATAAAAATACCTCGAGATCCTCAAGTGTCAAGCGCCTATTTTGTGACTGTGCTTCCTGTCTCTTTAACGCGTACTCCGCCCATACACGTTGTGAATCAATGAACTCACTTTCCCAAGGCTAAAAAAATAAGAATGCAGCTATTGTCAATGTACTGAAGAATTATACACACACACATGGTGATATCAACTCCAATAGATATGAGTTTGACTCAACTCCAAATTAAAAACTTGATACTAGAAGCTGACTCATATTTGAAATAGATTTGGGTTGAAGCACTCGACTTGAAACTGTAACCGGACCACTCAAAAATGATTTTAAGTTTCCTTAAAATCAGTTTTTAGTTATTTATCAAATGTTGTATAACTAAATATGATATAATTTTTTATCATATACATCATATATAAATACATACAAATTCCCATTGGAATATAATTGAGCAAGTTAATCAGCTCAAAATTGAAATCAAGTAATCATTTTTTCATCAAGTTTTAGAGTCTGAAATAATTAGAAGTCAAATTTTGATTTTTTTTAAATGAATACTTGCGCGTGAATAAAGCAGTCAACCAAATAAATTTGAAATCAATTGAAATGAGAAGGAATCCGCTTGAAATAGAGAGACATCAAATTGAACTTTATTACTTTTTAATAATACATATATACATAAAACTCAAGTCCAATTAATAGACCTGTATGTAGCGGTAAAGGTTAGGAATAAGCTGGTCCTCTTCATGGCTCATACCACTCCGGAAATGAGTCACCCCCACATCTGTTTGCTGGCTATACCTAAGGTCACTCTGAGGAATCAAAATATGTCCCATTGACAACATGCCAAGGCCCCCAATCTCCTTTGGTGTATAAAAAATTACAGGAGGAAATCTAAAAAAAACAAAATTTATTTAGATTTTTAATATGCCGTGCATGACAAGCGAACAAAAATTTTAAATCCAGTTAACTACCTGCTGGGCATTTTTGAGTTCAATCCAATCTTTATACGTGTCTGGATTTTATTTTCACACTTGACCAGCAAATCTAAAAGTTCCTGAGTATGCACAGTTGCTTCACGGAAATATGTCATAAGCCCTGCAAAAAATTTTATAATGTAGATATAGCTCATTAATAAAAACAAAAAGTAAATAATATATTCAATGAATGCATATTTAGTAATTTTTACAGACCAATAAGGGCAGTGTTCCATTTGTTGACTATCTTTGTAAAAGTTGTTGATCCAGAAGACATAAGAATCTGCCTCACACGATTCTCAAATACCTTCATGTGCTCATCATCAACTCTTAGGAAAGCTATTGCTGTTCTCTCCTTGGTTTGCTCATTCTGCAGGTTCCAAACTCCATCTTTGGTGTTACTGAATGCCTCTTGAGTCATTCTAATCTTTGGCAAGATGCGAACCTCAAAGCCACACCTAAAAAAAAAAGGGATTTGGACACACAAGAAAATCACAATACTACAAAAGCCATGTATGAATTTTGCAAAATATGTTTAACAGACCGAACAAGCCTAGAATGATAATTCTAAGAAAAGACAAAAAAAAGAGAAAGAAAATTGAAAAGGCATTGCAGACATCAAAAACTTCTAAACATTAATATGAACTGCACATAGCACACAAACTGAAACTAGTATCACTTCCACAAGATAAACTAAGAGACTACAGTGCACTCACATGCTGAAGAGCAAATTTGGATTGTCCTTGCTGTAAACAGATACAAAGCTGTTCTCCCACTCCAGTGTTGTGATGCTTCGAGGCAGACGATTTTTCATATCCCAGAAAACACTTCTGCCGAGGTTGACTGTAATGTAGAAAATTCATCACATTTATGCCCCAAAGAAAATCGACTTATAATATAATAGAGGAAATAAAAGAAAATTTAAAAAAACTAAACAAGAGGTAACAAATATCAGGTCAATTACCATCATGTTTCATAAGCCTCATTCTTGCATCTCTTGGCCAACATTTTTTATTATTATATCCAACCATATTTTCATTGTTAGGATCTGGATGCTCGGTCAGATAGCGCTGTATAAGGTCTCTTGCTTCTTCATGAGTGAATCGGAACAATATGTGAACTTTATCTATATAGCGTGAATATAGACGAATGGGATGCCGAGTCTCAACTTTAGTATCTGAGAAGGTAATGAACTCATTGGGCATCTGAGGAGGACCAGCAATTTCACTGGCTCTGGTTAGACCAAGAAGCAGGAGGTCAAGTACAAGTCCATAATATTGTACAACAAATGATGCAAACTGCAAACCACGGATGAGGCCATAGGAGTTTGTATGGCTCATGTCCTTGTAAGACAAAACCACATTGTTCTTCGCAGTAACATAATCAGCAATATTGTGGTCAAGGACCAAGCGAAGAAGCCTGCAAATAAAAGTATGTTGACGCAAATGCATGAATGGATAGATGAATTTACAAAAACAGAAGGATTGATAAGAGCTACCTATTTAACATGGTCAAATCAATCTTCTCAAAGAATTTCTCAAATTTCGTCTGAAGCATAACAACACATTGTCCATCATTTGTGTCCCATATGCCCAGCAAATTGTTTATACCTTGACACCACTTGTACACAAGAAGCGGGGGTGGTTCTGAATCAGCAGGCTTAATCCAGTTTGGAAACAGATGTCTCTTGTCACCCTCATACCATAAATATTGATCAAGGTATGCATCCGTAATCTTTTCAAGAGGTTCAATTTCATAAACAGGGATGAGATAACTATACAGATCCATGAATTCAATGCCAACCTGAAATGAGATCCTATTAAATTATGAATATAGAAGTAAGCCTAAGTTAAAACACTATTTAGGTACCAGGTGAGCTTACCTCTTTAAAAGCACGCTGAGTAAGCAAGTGACGCTTAATCCTTGATAATGCTTCATGTGGATTATCATAGGCTTGTTCAATAAGACCCAATTCTTCCCTCTGAAGTTGATTTAATCTCACCGCCACACTGTAAGACTCTTTTAGCTTCTCCAAAGCCAGAATAAGAAGCTTAGTATCATGTTTGTAAGATAGTGGTGGAAATGGTATAGGAGAGAACTTCCTAGATTCCAACCAATGCACTGTTGTTGTGTATATAGCAACAGCTTCTTCAGGAGTTACATAAGGACCATCTTTCAAATAATTATGTTGTCTTTCCTGTGAATAAGCACAAAATCTATCAAAATGATGGCAACAATACCCATCATTATCGATGGCATCATTAGCCTTATCTCAACTATTTGATTACTATTTGAGCAGGCATTTCATTAGTTTTGGTACATCTTTTATGAATAGATGTCAACCTAACATAAACTTCTATCAAAATGACGGCAACAATACCCATCATTATCGACGGCATCATTAGCCTTATCCCAACTATTTGATAACTATTTGAGCAGGCATTTCATTAGTTTTGGCACATCTTTTATGAATAGATGTCAACCTAACATAAACCCCCTCAACCAGCTGAATAGGTCGCCATGAAGGCAGACAAATGAAAGTAGAATAAGGGAGGGAGAAGGGTGGGTTGTAATCGCTATCAGGCAACATGTGCATAAGCAAATATGCAGTAAAATACTAGTAAAAAATAAATATGAAACAACGAACAATTAAGTACGAATAAGAAAATAATATTTCTTCGAGAACGGTGGGTTGTAATCGCTATCAGGCAACATGAGCATAAGCAAATATGCAGTAAAATACTAGTAAAAATAAATATGAAACGATGAAAGAACAATTAAGTACGAATAAGAAAATAATATTTCTTACCTGCTCGGCCTTCAACCATTACCTGCTCAGCCTTCAACCATAAACGGGTCAATCTTCCCAGATTCTTGCGGCAAACGGTCTTGTCAACTGTTGCACCTCTTCGAATACGTTCACGATTGTAGTGAGCAACATTTGTCCACCAATCAGCTTTGGATTTCACATAACGAAGAATCATGTTCTCAATGGGAACTGGAAGTCCAGGGACCTGTAAGAACGGTCATGTGAGAAACCTTGTGCTATAACATAAAAAATTAAACAATGTCAATCATCATATTCAGATAGAGTTCAATTTAAAAATTATAACTCTTACTTTCCAGGGTATGTTGGCTTTCCAGCAACGCCATGCTTCACTAAGGTGTTGTAGGATTGTCCTAGCCTTGTTCTGCTTAATGCCCTCTGCAATACAGCAAACATAAGGAAAACAAATATAACACAGTTTACAAATTTTTGAGAACAGAATGAGTATTAAGCAATAAAAAAAGTTTCACGTGGAATCACAATGGCTTCTAGGTGCATGGATAATAAATTCCAAATACAGCAAACTATAGCATAACTGCATTATAATGGAATAACACAAAATCAGACAAAGTCACCATGAAGTACAGATGGCTCATAAACTCACCAGGCATTGCATCCAAAACATCATGCATAACAGCGGCTCGCAGCTCCAAGTCAAAGTGGCTCTCAACACGCTGCTTTGTGACTGTCTTGGCAACTCCTTTGGAATGTCGACCTTCAAACTGACGTGCAAGCAAGTTACCTAGCCACCTCTCCAACAATGGCACAATACCACGCAAAAAAAACAGCCACACTCTCCACATTGGTGCCCAAAATCCACAACCAGGCCCTTTTCCAACAGGACCAGTATTGAAACGATAGTAAATCAAATGCTTCAAGTCCTTGCACATCCTAATCTGCCTCATCAATCGGTACTTGTAGCGGTACATTCCAGTCAATTGACCCACATGTGAAAAAGTGTACTGCAAACCATCAGCCAACTGAAATGCATCAACATTTCCCAACCGAAACTGAACATTAGCATCCACAACAAGTTTGGTCAATCGCAAAATTTCTCGACATAGATGAAAAGCATTTCCAAAACGTGACTTTTTTCGCTCCTTTGTGGTGAGAGTTTTAACAGGCTTCAAATTGAAATTGTAATCAAGGTGAAGATAGTTGAGATTTTTTCTATGAATCAGCAGATTTAACATATTATAACCCTGCTTGCAAACTTGTAGCCCTGCTTCGACCCAATCAAGCTCGGTGCTCTGGAAGAACTTGGTAGCTTGAAGAGACCGAAACAAGTGTTTCTTCTTCTGTGCTTTTGGAGGTCTGTGATGTAGCTCATTCAGTACATAGCATTTTAACAACTTTTGGTAACTCACACGAACTTTTACTGGATAGGATGGGGGACTGAAATCAAACAAACAAAGTTTTATAAGAAATAATATGCATTAATGCAAAGGTGCAGAAAGAATAGAAATAACAAAACTGAAACATACCAATGTTCCTTATACCATTCTGATACAAGAGGAATATCCTCGGCGCGTCTCATGCGACCAGATCTTGTGTTGAATGGACGAGGTGCAAACAAAAGTGAAATGCCCGCAGCTGTAGTATCCGTATAAAGTTGGGTGTCCTGCAACAAAGGTTCCACGCCTTCTGGAAGGAAGAAATCTTCCTCATCTTCTTCATCAAGCACCTTTTTCTCTCTCCGATCAACTTTGTTGACAGAAGTTATGGGGTTTATTAAAGGATCATAGTAGAATGCAGGTAAATCAGGATCCTCTGTCTTAATGTACATTACCATTGGAACATGGTAAACACAGAGCTTCACTTTTCTGGGCCTATTGTTGTAAAGATGAGGGAACGCTATTCTATATTCTGTCCTCAGTGGCTGACGAATAATTAGCTTATTTATGTCATTGAATTCATTCCAATCCTCATCCCCTTTTTCCATGTCACGATACAAAGGCTCAAATTTTGGACCGCCTACGGATAGAGAAAGAAGTAAACCAATATTTAGCCATATTATCAGGAGATAGAAATTTATCATGCAAATCTTGAGTAGAAACAGTAGGATAATTTGATTGAATTAAATGATATCTTAGACCATAGCTCAATACCATAATGGTAATGGACGCTCCTCAGCAAAAACAAGAACTGATTGTGTATATAATCTTAATCCTTGAGAAGAAACATTAGGATAATTTGATTGAATTAAATGATCTCTTAGACCATAGCTCAATACCATAATGGTAATGTACGCTCCTCTGCAAAAACAAGAACTGATTGTGTATATAATCTTAATTAGGAGTTCAGAGCAAACAAAGGCAAAAGAGCATGGCAAAGAGCAGTTTATCTTCTTCCCTTCTGCTATTATTCACATGTGAACATTAAAGTAAGAACACCAATTATGGGTAATGGTTTCATGTGCTTTTTAAATATTTTCATCTATGTGATTAGCCTAGTGTGCAATTAAGATAAAAAGGTACCTCCAAAGCATTATAACCTAGCTTTTAAGGATGATGAAATAAAGATTAAAGTTTTTCTCCACATCCATACAGATGTTAAAAGGCTCTTGATGTCCGACCTGGACTCACTAGAGGACTGATGATTAGGTCTAGCGACTAATTCTTTCTTCAATATTTTTTTATTTTCTCTCCCTCTTTAAAATAATTGGCTGTTTTGCATTTTGTCCTCCAATTAAAGGTTTAAGGAGGATTCGATCAGAAGGTTAGGGCTCAAACTCTGCTGCATAAATTGGAAGCTCCATGGAAATGGGTGATCTTAAGATTGTGTGGCTTCAGAAATGATCTACACCCTGTCTATCATATGAGTTTATTGGTAGAAGTTGTGGTATTCTCACTTATTTTGTAACGTTGACATGCCTACAGTATCTCACAACACTTTGCATAGATTCAAGAAATTTTTCATGCCCTACTTCATCTACAGCGTTGAAAATTTAATTTAAATTTAATTTTAAGATAAGCGTAAGTAAGAATATTTAAGGTTTTTCTTTGATTTTCCTTTATTCTCATTTAAATTTAATTTTTAAAACTAACTGATGTTGTTTCCCAATCACCAATGATTGCAATCCACTTTTTGCTTTGTATTCTTGCTATTCAGAATGATAGTCTTTACGCCATTATTTTGCACTTACCACAACATAGGTATCAATCTATCTGGTTTTTGCCACAAAAAATAAAAAAAAAAAAAAAAAAAAAAAAAAATTTAACACAACATGGGTATCAATCTATCTGGTTTTTGCCACCAAAAATAAAAAAATAAAAAAAGAAAGGTTTGGCAAGTAATATACCAGGTATGCACATATTCAATGCTTTCGCTGTGAAGAATGATTCCATGTCAAACAAGTAGAAATAGTTCCGATCAATTAAATCAGAAAGCAATTGCCCTGCTAATCTATGAAGAGTCGCCATTATTGGAAGAGAGAGATGCCATCTCCTGTAACTAGGACCATTAATAAGCTTAGTTTTTACAAGAGGTTTGTGGTCATAGAACCAAGTATATACAGCAGAATCCTCTTCTTCATCTAATTCCAGTTGGATAGCCTCCAGTGGATCAACATCCAACAGGTTATCAGCATAATCTAATGGAGGCTCTTCATCATCAAATGGAGGAAATCTCATTCTTTTGAAATGCCTTCGGTCTCTTTTTTCTCTTCGCATCATGATCCACATTGAGCCCCACTGGTTAAGAATACAAAACCAAAATTTATTCCAGGAATAAAAAAAATAAAAAAGATCGAATAATAAGTAGTAAGTGTTCCTTCGTCTTAAATAACAGGCCAAAAGATGCATAGTATTGTGGACAATTTTACGAAGCACCATAGATGAAAGGCAAACAGAAAAGAATTTTAAGCAGCCAATATCCCAACTCAAGTTGGCTATCAAAATCGTTGATTCACATCAACCACAACGTTATCTTGATAGTTTGGGAAAAGATTTCTAATTTCCGGACAATGTAGCCTAATTCGACCATTAGACATAGATTTGACCCCATGCCCTTCAAATATGCAACGAAATACTGACTAAGTGAACGTAAGGCATATTAAAAGAATAGATAACAAGTGGCATACCTGTGCTAAATAGATCGGTTCAACAACCCATGGTATCTCATTGACAAATGTGATAGCACCAGTGATATGATAAAGTATTTTCACATTTCGAACCTAAATAAGAGATAAAAAAACCTTAAAAGAAACAGTAAAATGAAAAATATGAGTCCAACAATTAAGTGGGTAGAAGAAGACCTGTTCCCAGGGCATAGGCATATTCTCCAGAAGTTTATAGACTGCATGAGGGACAAATTTTAAAGCACCAAGATAAACACGCTTATCATGCCGGAATTTTTTCGATGTCATGTCACCATGATCTCTGTTTGGCATAACAGATATAAATAAGATTAGAAATTCATGTGATGCAATTTTATCCAATCCTATCCTAATAATGCAATCAAAATAATCTATAATAAACATTATACAGGAGTAGCATTACAGTGTCCTGCATAACAACAAAAAATCATAAGTGAAGAAAAAAATTTACAAAAAACATGACAGTCAAATGCTTAAACAAATACTTCAAAACAATATGATTTTTTCTGGCTTTATTAGCTCAAGTACATAACAGATTAAAGCAAAAACGTTTTTCTTTTACTAATTCAGATAAGCTAATAACTTCTTTCGCATGCAAGCCTTAACTCATAGCTCTAAACAAGCTTAAGACTTCCTTAGGTATAGCTTTTCACATTTAAAATCATTTGAAAAACAGTTTCAGCTTACCTCAGAAACATGCATTACAAGTCTCATTCTACATGTACATCTTCATGAGCACACGGCCAAACTTATAAAGCGACTTCAATATGAGATCTTAATGATTTAATTTCATACAATACAGCAAGACTGCAACATCAATACTTTCTCAACAAATGAAGAGTAAATCTCAAAATACAATTCAGGAAGCTATAAAGATGACTGATCAAGCACAAAGTCAAGCCTAAATTCAAATCCAAAGTCAAGCCCAAAGTTGGACCCAAGGTCTAAGTGAATGACGCATATCACACGACATGTGAACTATAAAATTGGATAAAAAGGAAGGCATCGAGGAGGGTATCTAAAATTCACATTTCCTCTCCCTTAAAAAGAGGGATTGGTCAAGGTAAGCTTAAAGATTTTAGGCATTCATATCAAGGCGGGATACTCATTTCACAACTTATCTCATCTGTGTTGCATCAAATAAGTAGGGAATTTAGGCTCTTATTCCATCTTAATTATCAAGCACTTTTCATTTCTATAAATAACACTACTTTTGTACTCACTTGTATTCATTAAAGTACTAAAATTTCATTCTTCCTCTCCAAACTCCAACACCCTCTTTTTCATCCTTTTCTCTCATCGTTTTGCCGCTCAATTTCTCTTCGTAAACAATTAAGTTGTGGAGCCTAATTTTTAATCCATGAAAAAAAATGCATAACGCAAACTTAGGGGCCGTTTGGGGGCACGGTTTACCCGCGGCGTGTCCCCAAACCACGGTTAATGTTTGTTTGTTTCGTCGTTTGCTCGGCTATCAGGAGCATTTTTAATGAAATGCGAGTCGCGGGGTTCGCGTTTCTTCATTTTATTTGTCGAAACTGCCCTCGCCTTTCGACTCCGCTTTCTCCTCTTATGCGCTAATCATCCCGCGGAGTGCTCCCGCATTTCTTCCAATCTAAAAGCTTTCTCATAACCGACCCGCTTTCTCATTCTTCTGCTCTAACCCTCCCTCTCTCGCATTATTTCGAGAAATTTGTGCTCCTTCCTACAATATTCTCTATCCCTTAAACCTGCATCTCCAGCCTTTGTGAGTTTGGTTGTTGGTTTTTCTGAGAGTTACTAAAATTTGTTGATATCTAGTCATCCGTGCATTTGATATATGTTTCTGTTTGTAATATGTGAGGGTATTGATTGTTGGTGAAGGTGGTTTTGGCTGTTGTTCGTTTGTTTCATTATTTTGAGATGCAGAGGGTGAGATGTTGGTTTCGACTGCTATTTTGGTTTTATGCATTTGTGATGATGGTTTTGTTATTGTTTTGGTGGGGTGTTGGATTTATGGTTTTGTTATTGCATTGGTGATGGTGGCTTTGATGAGATGTGACTTTCGGCTGCTGTGGTTTGAGTATTATGCATGTGGCGGTGTATCTCGTAACATACGTCGTCTCGATTTTAAATTTAATATTATCATAATTTTAATTGTAATTTTAATACTTCTTTTTCTTTTTTTATCAATCTTGATACTCACTATTAAGTGAGGACTGTTTCATCTTTTTTTCTTTACAGTTTTGTATTAGTTTTTTGTTTCTGCGGTGTCGAATATATTGTCAAGACAGTTCTGTTACAAACAACATTATTTAACAGGGGCAAAAGGGTTATTTATCCACAAACAGCTGCAAATCAACTGTTTTCAAACAGTTGCCCCAAACAGCCGACCAGTTTATCCGGATAATCTGTTGATCAGTAGCTTATCAAGATAAGTTGTTTATCAACAGATTATTCAATAAGCTGCAACTGGCCCAAACAAACCTTTAATTACAATTTTTTTCTTTGATATGAGGGGATTATGCCTTCTATTGTTCAAGAAAATTTAGGTATATTTTCCCCCGAATAAAATCATGGCAAAGCGAGAGGACGTAATTGGATGAATAGGTATAAAATGCTTATGTAATTGCAGTCTTTGCCTATTTTTTCCATTTTTTCTCTATTTGTAATTGCAATCTTCAACTATTTTTCAAAACTA